ACCTTTTTTTTTATTGTTAAAGGTATATTATTTGATGTGTCAAAGTTTAAAATTGGGTCTCTATTTGAATGCATCAAGTTGAATGATTGCCTCAAGCCTCTATAAATATAGAGATAAATCCCTTACTGATACCACAAACCAAATATATTCGTACAAAGAGAGCATAAGAAAAAAAACAGAAAAAAATGGAGGTGAAAACCTTTCTTCTCCCTTTGGTCCTCTTTGTTTTCATCTTCTCGCAATTTTCACTTTCAGCTTTTAAGGGGATCCTAAACAACCCCTACGTTGGTCCTTCCATCGACGAATTGGGACATCACGCTGGTTACGCTGGTCACGCTACTATAGCCTCCCACGTACAAAATCAGCCAAGTAAAGTTTTAAACTAGTTCAAATTAGTCCAGTTTAAATGAGGATTGTTATATTAGTTTAATTAGTAGGTAATTGGTATAGACATCGACTTATTAAACCGATCATGTTTTTGGTTTTTCTTACAGGATGTTCTACTTTTTCTTTAAATCACGGAACAACAGTGCAGATCCGGTTGTTATAATCTGGCTATCCGGTGGACCGGGTGGTAGTAGCAGTTTGGCTCTGTTTTTTTAGAACGGTCCGTTCAAGATTTCGGAGGATCTCTCTCTCTCTCTTTTGGAACGATTTTGGTTGGGACAAGGTTTGTTTATTTGTTTGGTTGGGACAACGTTTCTTGTTACTCAAGAATCATTTGTTTTTCTCTCGATAATTCAACTAACTTTTGTTTTTAATATATAGGTCTCAAATATAAGTTACGTTGATCAATTGGGACTGGTTTCAGCAACACGTCGGTCACTAGCGATCTCTGGCATGACGAAGATGGTGTGAGCAATGACCTATACGACTTCTTACAGGTTCGATTGTTGTCCAAAATTCTTAAAAAAGAAAAAAAAAATGTTTCTTCAAATTACAATGATATGGGTTTTTATCTTTGAATTTTCGTAGGCTTTCTTCAAAGAGCATTCTAAATTCGCAACGAACGATAATGTCTTAGTACTAAATGAAAAATATAATTATTTACATGTTTATTTTTTGGATAATACATAAACGACTAATAACAACATTCTGGAAAGTATTTTTATTTAATAACTTGTGACCCTTAAGAAGTATTGTCATTCTTGTTCCCTACCTTCTCGTCCCTCCCATGGATGGAGAAGTGTGTGAGTGGGCAGGGAGATCTTAAGAAAGGGTTTGGGATGGATTATCCCTGGGGCAGCTCTGTATTCGTGGGTCTTATGGACTGCTCGAAATCAGCTGATCTTTACGGAGAAGATCTTCTCAGAGGATGATGTAGTTGCAAAGTCAGTTTCGGAAGCTCGACAATGGCATTTGGCTCAAGAGTCTTTGCCCTGACGCACTACACCTCCGGTAGATGAAAATCCTATCCATAATTTCTCCTTCAACTGCGGGATGGGCTGGATCCACACATCCGGCGACAACTCCGGTGAGAACTCCCCTGTTTTCTCTATGTCGCTCTGTTTCCTTTGCACTTGTTGCGGAAACCAGAGCAATGATGTCTGCCATGATCTATGCTTTAGACATGGGCTCTTTATTGGTTTTTGGTTGAATCCATGGA